TGCTTTCTAAATACTTGTACTGATTCCAAGAAGATAATTTTTTGAAGCATTGGGAGGACATTTTTCCGTTTGTTTGATTTTATGGGTGAACACAGTACGCTATAGGCAGAGTGAATGGGATGCCAACTGGACAGCAGAAAAGGATTTTAGAGCTGCTAAAAACATTGAAAACCATTAGGAAATAGCATGCAAAATAGCATGCATGTTCAACTTTGATGAACAATAACTGAAGATTTGACATTCTCTCTTCTCTTGAAAAAATTCAGTGAGTGAAGCAGTTCTTGTTTTGATATGAACACTTCCTTGAAATTCCCTCTCTCTCAGGGCTTCTTTTACGCTATTATAACCTTTGTACTAAAGTGGTCCCTGAAAGAAGAAATTCAAGGTGGTTTATGGAGGAGGAGGGGCCATGGCAGTTAATTTGATGTGAACTTTTATCAGGTTTTTGAAAATCTTGGTCTGGCATTCCCCAGTTAAAGAAAATATGATTTCTGAGAAAATATAAGGGACATTTAAGAATTTTGAAAAAAAAAAAAAAAAGCTATCCATTTAATCCATTTGTAAAATACCTTCTTCTAGAGCACATTCATTTGCAGTCTAAATGAGACTTGAATTGATCCAGCAAAGAATGTCATTGCAATGCCAGGTTTCAAATGCAGAGTGCTGGGTACTTCTTTCATCTGCAGGTAATGTCATTATATATTGCAATCACTCTTATGGCATCTGCTCATTAGGAATTCATTGAGTGCTCATGTGGCTATAATGCACTTCCATTTGTATTCTGAAACAATTTAGCATTGGGGAACTTAAAAGTCATTTGAGCAATCCTGTGTGGAGCTCCTGTTTTTACTCCAGGCAAATTTATGTGAAGATCACTGTAACATATTAAATGTCTAATTGTTCATTGATGAAACAGTAACACTGAAATGTTCATATTTAAAGATGTAATATTTCATCAAATTTTGAAGGCATAAAAATATTTTTCCTAGTTAGATTGAGTGGCAAAGACAGAGGAAGATGAACGTAGAAATATATAAAACGTAACTCATTTTTTTTTTACATGTTTGCTTTCACAGTTTAGGAAAATTGAAGGTATATTATCTATGTTTGGTTTGCTCATAAAATTATATTTTCTCATATATTAAATTTCAAAGTATAATCTTTGTAAATTCAAACAATGCTGGATTTACAGATTAGCCACTTGCTTTCCCTTGTTTTAATGAGTTTACAATGATTGTGAAAGGACTTAAACGCTGTTGAACTTAGGAGTTTAATATAACTTCACATTTTTATGAAACTGTGAAGCCATCAAACCTGAAAATAGAAAAAACCTTCAAAGTAATAGTAAAAAACAGGAAAAAATGATGGAAACTGTACTTTCATAAACTCTACCAGGTTGTGCAATAGTGAAAGTAATTATTTTCAGAAGAGAGGTTGATGGAAAGGAAAAAAAAAAAGGAGACTCCCTCCTCTTTCAAACTCACTATATGCAAATGTTGTCATATGGAATATTTCCAAATAATCATATTTTCAAATGGTGTTAAGAAAAGAGTATGTTTTGTCCTGTTAGCATTTTTAATAATTCAAAAATTCAGAGATTTTTTCAGATTAAGAGAAGTCTCTCAATTTTTCTTTTCTTGCTTTCATGTATTTATAAACATAAATTTGAATTTTTATGTTTTCTAGAAGAATCCAGAAAAGGAGAATATGAATGAAAGGCAGTTTTACACCAAAAAAGGCCAGTCAACATATTTTGTGAGAGGTTATGACTGACAATATTTCAGTTTATAATATTGGGACAAATACCTGAAAACTTTAAGTGTGAAATTACAAACATTTACAATACATTATAATGCTGATCTACTATAGTCTTCTCATCTCATAAGTGATGAGACCAAAACCTAGATATCAGATTAAAAGCTATTTCTTACAACACAAGATCTTAGAGATGAGAGCTTAAGAATATCTCTAACAGATAACATACAACAGTTTGAATATTTATTTGATATAACTCCAAATACTCCAGCAGAACCTTTCTAAGGTCTTATAATTATTTTAGGTTTTGTTTTACTTAATTTATGTGATTCCCCTAAAGTTAACGAGATGTTGAGTTAACTCAAAGTTGAAGTTTGAAACAGACATGTACCTTTATTCACTCATTTATTTATTGAAAATTATCTTTTAAGAACAATAGAATACTAGGCACTCTTCTAGATATTTATCATATGTCAGTGCTTAAATAAAGAAAAAGCTCTGCCCTCGTAGCAAGGACACAGACAAATAATAATCAACACGACAAATAAGCTTGAATATAGAAAGTGATTGTGCTATGAAAAAAAATAGAGTAGGATGGGAGAATTGGAAGTATGGGATAGGGTTAATGTGAAAGATGGTTGCATCTTTAAATGCGGTGTTCAAAGTGGGACTTGTTAAAGGTGACATTTGAGCAAAGGTCTGAAGGCAGGGAGGAAGTTAACCAAATGGGAGTGGGTGGAAGAGAATTCTTGGCAAGGGACCAGTCGGCACAAACTCCAAGGTGAGATTGTGCTTGGTATTTTGGAGGAATAGCAAGAAAGCTAGTGTGGAGTGAGTAAGAGACAGGGATCGCAGAAGAAGAAAAAGCCAGAAAGAATGTCAAGGGTCTAGATCTTGTGGGACCATGTAAAGAATTTGGCTCACTGTGAGTGAAAGACGAGCTGTTAGAGAGATCAGATTGGAAGAATGACGTAATCTAATATGATGTCTTAGAAAATCATTTATGGCTGTGTTGAGGAGAACATTTTTTTTTTTTTAGACGGAGTTTTGCTCTTGTTGCCTAGACTGGAGTGCAATAATGGTGTGATCTCAGCTCACTGCAACCTTCACCTCCCGAGTTCAAGCGATTCTCCTGCCTCAGCCTCCCAGTAGCCGGGATTACAAGCATGGGCCACCACGTCCATCCAATTTCGCATTTTTAGTAGAGACAGGGTTTCTCCATGTTGGTCAGGCTGGTCTCGAACTCCTGATCTCAGGTAATCTGCCTGCCTCGGCCTCCCAAAGTGCTGGGATTACAGGCGTGAGCCCCACACCCAGCCAAGGAGAACCTGGTCTTTAATGCAGAGTTTTACTTCCTGTATAGGCTTCCTCAAGATCTCTTTTCCTTGAGCCCTTTTGTTATCTTGTTCCTCTTTAACAAGTGCTTTCCCTTGGTGTGGAAGGCTTAGAAGAGCTTACGAAGGGTCCCATGACTCTTTGAAAGGCAAGGCTTCTCTTTCTGTGCCTGCAAAGCTTTTAGTGATCTGCTCTGCCATAGGCTCTACACCTGTTGACCCCTAGCTGTGCTCCTGCTGGGTGGGTCTTCCTGGTTTCTTTTCTCATGTGGCACCTCCTTTTTATCTCTTCTCCTTAGGAAGTGAGAGAAGGGTGGGATTAAAAATATTTGGGATTCAATGTATTTGTCCTGATTCCATCACTTTTGTTTCTGTGATCATAAAAGTAGCACGTTTTTCACTGTAAAAAATTAGGAAATAGAGGCACACACAAAGTCCTCCCGAAAAAGAAAATATAACCTTCTTCTTACCAAAAGATAACTTTAACACATTTTTTATATCTTTCCAGAACTCTATGTGTGTGTGTTTAAACAGAAGGGTTTTTATTATGCATATATTTGTAAGCCTCTCATTTTACTTAATATACCATGACTGCATACATGTCAATAAATATTTCTTTATACCAATGTTGTAATAACTTAATGGTATTTTATTATATGAATATGCTATTAGTTATTTAATTGTCACTATTTAGTTAGATTATATAGTCTGATGATAATGTAATGTTTGTCCATACATTTAATTTTTCTTTAAATATCAAGAATCAGTATTTTAGGTAGGCCAAATGTATACATATTTTATGTTTTTTGATGTATTTGATTGTCATATTGTACTGAGAGTGATAATACCAATTTTCTAATTCTCACTAGTAACCTATTGGGTCATTTCCTCCTAGCCCAAACCTTCATGAACACAAGACTAAAAAAAAAAAAAAAAAAATTGCAAATATCAATATGTAAAAAGTTATATATTATTATGTTACTTTTTATTGCTTTGATAATTAATGGCAAATATTTGTCAAAACCCTGCAGATTTCAATTTAGATGCCCTCCTTTTACCTGGTAAAAGTCCCTAATGCCTTCATTCTGGGTTGGCCCCCTTTCCTATCATGGCATAGAATTTTATACTTTACCACTTGTAATCGCCAATTTACTTCTCTTTCTGCTACGCTAGACTTTCAGATCCATGAAGGCAGGGATTCTGCTGTCTTGCTCATGACCAGCTAATGACTGGCATATCATAGCTTCTGAACAAGTAGGTGTTAATCAAGTCCTGGAAACCATAATTTTAAAATAATGAAATAATTATATCACCAGTGGTTAATATCTTCTTGCACTTGTTAAAGAAAATATATTTTACTTGCCCATTTGAACAGAATAGCAGTGACCTTTTTTTCTAATTTCTAGGCATTAAAAACAAATGTGTAAATACTAGAATTCTGGAGAATGAATGGATGGATGAATGGAAGCTCTTTCCATTGTCTATTCTATTTCTAGGCCTCTGGTAAGCTGATGAGAATATACCCCCAACCTCTAGACTGAAAGTTGATAAAAAACGCCCAGCAAAACAAAACAAAAATACAGGCAAAGAGGGAACTCATAAATTATGTTTGTTTGATAACTCAAAGTGAATCACGTTCTATTTTATAATGTAATTCAACTTCAGAGCTTTATCCATGACTGGGTTTCTAGTTAATTCTTGGCTTTACAGGTTATCTAGACAGTACTTGTGACCTTCAGTACTGTTCTAAATAAATAATATGTTAAGAGATTTCTGTATTGTAAATTACAGATCATAACTTGTTTCTATTATACAGTCTTTGAATTTCCAACTGAATTTCTACCAAAGTCTATTTCAAACCTCAAATAATTAACTACTTTATTTTATTAATATATATTTCTTTTTTTTTCAGGTCATACAGGTAATGTGCCTACATTGCAACAAGGTTCAGAGGGTGGCACATCTCACGTATATATGTGAACACCCACTCATCATGCTCATGAACTACAAAAGGATCATATTACTGTTTATTTCAAATTGATTTTTATGTACCAGAATGTTATTTGGTTTAGCTAATTTAATGAAAGTTGCTAATATTGAAACATTAATAAACAGATAAAGAATGTTAGTCATTTTAATATAACTATTGAGAAAGTGAAGAAGTGATTTTAGTAAAAGCCAGTTGGTAATGGGTTTTGATTATTTGGACATCTAAGTTCAATAATTGAAACATGTTAGAAAGGGGACAGATGAAAAAATTTAGGGAAAGACTCACAGTTACCTCTCTTTTTTTTTTTTTTGATACAGGGTCTCAGGTCTCACTCTGTCACCCAGCCTGGTGTGCCCTGGCATGATCTCAGCTCATTGCAACCTGACCTCAAGTGATCTTCCTGCCATGGCCTCCGAAAGTGCTGGGATCACAGGAGTGAGCCACCTTGCATGGCCTCACAGTTGTCCCTTAATTACTGGAAAGGCAGTCCAAAAGAACTGTCTGAAAACAATATAAATAATCTTTTCTCAAAATTATATTTTTAAACATAATGAAGTTAAATTGGAGATTGGGGTCGAATGCAGAGTACTAAAAATAAGACTTTGAAATACCTTAAAAAATAATCTTTTATTTATTTAGAGTTTCTACTCCTAATTTTCAGATTAAGCAATGACAAGAGCTGGTACCTAGAATAGATATAAATTGTGCAACTGCATGGTGGATTAATTGTTCAAAAGAGATGACTCTGTTCTCCTGGAGACCCATTTATTTTTCAATTAACAAAGAGCAAAAGGCCTTTTCAGACTTCTGCTTAAGGGACAGGATAAAAAATATGCCACTTATGCTTGGTAGGTTTAATTAAATGTTTAGTTTGAGCTTATAAGGAACTATTTGTTTTAGCCAATTCAGATTATAATAGAAAATTAAAAATTCTATTAACAATTAAGTTGGTGTTTTGATAAAAATGTATATCTAGCAGCATAAAGCCTCTCTGGAATCAAATTTTTTGACTCCTCCTTGACGTATTTCTTGTTTGGTGGATGTTTTAATCTCGTCATCTCTTAGTGGTTTTCTGATTTTGTAGTTTATGACTCAAATAATGCTATTTAATCAATGGGTCAGACTAATAAACCCAAGCTCACGCTCACTAAAATTTTAGCATAAACAGATTTGAATGAATATGTTATCTTGTCAGCATATTGCCTTTTTTTTTGCAATTGCCCATATAGTTATTGCTCATTTTATGTTGTAGGCTTCGGGAAGATGAGAAGCATGCTTTTGTAACTTGATCTAAATAGTATTTTTTTGAACACATGAAGCCAAGTTGATTAAATAATAATAGTTTTAACCCTAAGTAGTAAAAAATTACTGCACACACACTCTAAGACTGGTATTGTCCTAAAAATCATATGTGCATGTTCTCTGTAAGACAGATATAATCTCCATTTTATACATGAGTTAACTGAGGTTCTGGAAGGTTAAATGATTTGTTGCAGATTCAGTTATTAAATGTGAGAAATAAAAAGCAGCTTGCTTTACTCCAAAGATCATAATATTCTATTATGTATGTTGTTATCAGCAGTTGAATGTCATTTATACCATTAGACATGTTGTGTTTTATTATATTCCTACCATGAGAGCACAGTGATTCCCAAACTTTAATGTGAGCATCTAATTAAAACACAGATTCTGATTCAGTAGGTCTGGGGTGAAGGCCTGAGATCCTGCATTTCTAACAAGTTCCCAGGCGATGTGAGTGTTGCTGGTCTAAAGCCGCCACATTAGGTGAGGCTCTAGAGCAGTGACGCTAACATGACAGAGAAGGAAGGTAGGGAAACATACTCATCAGATCGTCACTGGAAGCATTTAAGAGTTTTCAACCTACAAAGTTTCCTTTTCACTGGAGAATCTGATATGCCCTTCTCTACCTCTTAAAATTAGTGCTATAGAAAGCGGTGGATGTTGATGGGACTGCCTGCTACATCCCTCATGTGTTTGGGGATAGAAAACAATCAGAAATGACTGACCCGGCCATTTCATCACCTTGAACAATGAAAGCCAGTATGAATTTTAGGTGATGCTGTTAATGCTATGGTATGGATGCGGCAGAGGGGAAAGGAGAATCAAAGCAAGGGAACTACATTAGGAAAAGGAAAGAGGTAGGAGGAGGAAAATAATGACAGACAGTGGAGGAAACTAGCCAATTGCATACGGTGGTGAATGACAGGGTGACACAGAAGATGGCCAGAAAGAGCCAATTTCTTATCACTACATAGCATAATTTGAGGACGTTTCTCATCTCAAAAATACCACTTTCCTCAGTTAGTTATGGGGACTCTTCAAATGATGGTTTTTATTCAGGGCAACCTTTAAGATAATATAGTATGTTAGTTAGCTTCTTCTATCCACTAGTAATTTCAAGGTGAATATTTTGAGCCGGGTAAAAAGTAATCTTTCACTTTCACTTTAATCATCATTGTAGCAATTCTACAGCTATCTTGTTCTTATAATTTAGCTAATGAGTTTGTGTAATTGAAAACAGCAGGGTGGAATGGAGGTAGTCAAATTCCATTAGTGACTTTGTTCCTGAAAAGCATATGTATATATGTGTGTGTGTGTGTGTGTGTGTGTGTGTGCATGTATGCACACACACACAAATACACACATGCACTTCTCATATCAGTGGACTGACAAAAAAATGAAAGTGACTTTTTGTCATTTATATATTAGACAGTTACAATCATTGCTTTTTAGAATTCCTTATTTGAAATGGCAATTAGGTGAAAATTCCCTGGCCAGGTTACAAAGGCAGATGGCAGATGGAAATATTATAGAAGCCACCAGGTAGCTTATGCAATACTAATGTTTTTATAAGTTTGTGAATGCCTTTCCAAATCCTTTAGTAAAATAAAACTTGTAGGAGGCCCTGGTAATAGAGATGGTGACAAGGGCCAAGCGTGGGTTAAGAATGCAGTTGGCTTAAACATAGCAATGTAGACATGAACCCAGATTTGGACAGTTACCAGAGAGGCTGTCATTTCAAAATGCCAATAGAGACTGCCAACAGCAACTGCCGCAAGCTTCTTTGATCCGGGCCCTCTCAAATTATCTCCTAGTTATGTGCTGTCATGTGGAACATTTGATGGAAACACTGAGCCTCATTAAAACAATCAGGGAAGATTTCCTGCCACCATATCTCTGACTGGAGTTTTCTAATTCTTACAGTTATTTTTCTCCCATCAACTTCTTGGTGTGTATGGCTCCATTTGGATGGCACCTGTGCAATCTATCTCAAAATCTCCACATTATTCATCTATTAATTTCCAGATTTTTAGTCAACAGACTATGCCACTTTCCTCCTTGAGAAATTGCAAGTATGTGCTTTTTATACTGCCAGTCTGCATGAGAAGCATAGAGAATTTTAGTCACAATTGTTTCACTACTGATCATTCCTGTGGCACTTATCTCCTTGTGATTTCTCCTGGTAGAGAAATCCAGCAGGAGAAATCTAGCACAAGATCTGACTGACACAAGATTGTTTGCAGCATTTATTGATGTTTACAGAGCCTTTGACTTTGCGAATAGTTTACAAATGGTCCAAGTCTCATAAACTTCTAAACTTCTAATTGACACTGAGTTACTAATGCTTCTACATAACTACATCTTTTTTTTTTTTTTTTTTTTTTTTTTTTTGAGACAGGGTCTCACTCCATTGCCCAGGGCGGAGTGTGGTGGTGCAATCACAGCTCATTGTCGTCTTGACCTCTCTAGGTTCAGGTGATCCTCCCACCTCGGCCTCCCAAGTAGCTGGGACTACAGGTGTGTGCCACCATGCCTGGCTAATTTTTAAAATTTTTTGTAGAGATGGAGTTTTGCCATGTCACCCACACTAGTCTCAATCTCCTGGGCTCAAGCGATTCTCCTGCCTCAGCTTCCCAAAGAGCTGGGATTACAGGCATGAGCCATCACATCTGCCCCAGAATTGCATCTTAATAGCATAGACTGAACCTCTCATGAATGATCAGAAACAATAAGTTCCTTTTTCTTTCAGATTTGATTATAAATGGCTTCATACTCCTCTGGGATCAAAATGATGCTTTATGGTATTTCATTATTGGTAAGTAAAATTATATAAAATAAAAGATGTAAGCCAATGAGTCTCTATTATAAAGAGCTAAGTACAAATTAGATCTTCATTAAAAATTCCTGATTTTTTTCTCACTTCTTAAAAAATTATCTTCCTGGATCTTTGTTTCTTTCTTTTCTTTCCTTTCTTTATTTTCCTTTCCCTCTTTTCCTTTCCCTTTCTTTCTTTCTTTTCTTTCCTTCCTTCCTTCCTTCCTTCCTTCCTTCCTTCCTTCTTCTTCTTTTTTCTTTTTCTTTCTTTCTTTCTTTCTTTCTTTCTTTCTTTCTTTCTTTCTTTCTTTCTTTCTTTCTTTCTTTTTTTTCTTTCTTTCCCTCCCTCCCTCCTTTCTTTCTTCCTTTCTTCAACACAGTTTCACTCTGATGCCCAGGCTGGAGTGCAGTGGTGTGACCTTGGCTCACTGTAACCTCTGACTCCCAATTTCAAGTGATTCTTGTACCTCAGCCTCTCTACTAGCTGGGATTACAGGAACCCAGCACCACATCCAGCTAATTTTTTTATTTTTATTAGAGACATGTTTTCTCCATGTTGGCTGGGCTGGACGCAAACTCTTGACCTCAAGTGATCTGCCTGCCTAGGCCTCCCAAAGTCCTGGGATTACAGGCATAAGCTACTGTACCCAGCCTCTGGATGCTTCTCTATAATTACCTTGTAGGTATTTACTCAAGATAAATACCTGTGGAATCAGGAGAACCACACTTTTAATATTTAATTGAAGTAAAAGTTCAATGTTTTTCAAAATAAATATTATAATGCAAATATGGACCTTCTTTTAGTTTTAAAGTAGTATGCTTGGAATTGGACCCTAATTCCTCAAGTATCATAAAGGAACAAGCAATTTCCCTAAAAGCTTTACAACCTCCAAAACCAGTTTTGATCCAT